TCAATCCATTTTTGTCTCTCCATAACTGCACACACGCGTGATGCGTTTTATTATACATGTATATTATTTATTTATACATTATATACATACAGGTACGAAGTATAAGTAGGTATACCACTCAAACGTTATTTCAAAAGTCCCAGACGTAATGATTTAGGAGACGATTCCACAATCCACGTGCGAACTGCGAGTGAATTATTATTCATTATTAATTTATTAGTGTAGCCGTGCGGCTTTACGAGTGCAACGAAGATAACTTTTGGATAATTCGAAATTAACTAGAAATATTGCATACGCACATAATCAGACACAAAGAACATTTAACGACGCGTGCAAGTAGGTTAAGTGAACTTTACGTTGTCGTACTAATCATATAGTGTAGTCATAGTGTATACTATTACATACCTAGTTGGTAATTGGTATAAGTATATTGTATATACCTACCTATATCAGACCTGTTGAAGTATGATCATATTGCACTTATTTTAATCGAATTGCACTTTGGCTTTAAAAAAAAAAAAAAAAAGGTAATATGGTTGAACTGCATGCTCTCAAGTTCAAAATGGTGTTTCGATAAAAATGTCATGTATCTGAAGAGGTTTAACTTAAAATTACAGGCATTAAATTTTCACTTACAGACTTAAGACTGAAATGATTTTAATCACTGACTTGATTAATAATGATTTTAATTTTTTGTTATAAATATGGTATAGTTTTATTATTTTTTTTTTTAAGTATTTTTTTAACTATTCAATTATTTTTTGTATTTACTGTAATAACTTAATTCAAAAACTCAAACTTAAATCTAATATGTAATTGATTTTTGAGCAAATAAGTTAAAATATTTTTCGATTAACCTGTAGTTGAAGGTCTTGTACCAGTGCGCTGCATTAAAATATAATAGTAACTATTTGTATAATAATTGAATTACAACCTCAATCAGTAAATATACATTTTGATATGGTAACGAAAATTATTTATGAAACTTTGTGTGGAAAGATTCATATTCATTTGTAGTCCTTTGATTATAAATCGTTCCCGAAGCCCGACCATTTATGAAGAATAAAATATTTTTAGAAATATAATTATCTACTAATTAGTTACTATGTTCTTGAATAGTATGGTTTTTAGACATAATTGACATAAAATCATTTATTGTAAGATTCGAGAACTACCTACATCTAGAAAACTTAAACTAAATATATTACAAACCAAATTTCTAGTTTCTATTTTAGACCTGAAATCAGTTGCAAGTTCCAGATTTTGTATTTTACGACACCATAATCGCGATAAATTAAATCTACAGCCTATTACATAACGCTTTTTATTCGAATGAAATACGACTATTTAATTTAAGAAAAAAGTGTAATCTGTTGACGCCATTCTCCACTATTATTTTTGCCAATTATAATTTTTTAACTTGTCTATAACATGCTTAAGTGCCTTTAATAGAAACCCTTTTAACCCACCCATAATTATCCTAACACCCATTGTACAACCTTTACAATTATTACAAATAATTATTTTATAGATCGTGTTTTAAAAAGATTAAAGTTAAAATAAAACTTGTTAGTACTCGTATACGTAAACTGTTTACTACACATAAAAATGTTTTGAATGCCTAACTAAATCAATAAATAATATACTCTTTCAATTATTTACCTCTTTTATTAGTTATTTTATTGCTGGAATTAAAATTTAAAATACATTATTATAAATCCACGTTTTTTGAGATAAATATAGTGAGTCAACCACAGGTTTTAAACCACGGTTATCTACTCAATATATAATCTTTACACTATATTCATTGTTTTGATTCTCTCATAGCTACTACTACATTTCCTACAATCATTATTATATTTTTATATTTTGTAATTTCTTACCATAATTTATAATGTATTATAGTTATTAATTATCATTGAAATTCAACCGATATTTATGCCGCATAAACATATTACTCGTACATCGAAAATGATATATTATACTCTTGACTACTAATTATGATAATAATATTAATATTATATCATATAATATAAGAATTTTCCTAGTCACAATAAAAAAGACGATTTTTTTTAACTGTAATATTTTTCTCATGATTGGGTGGTTGCCCTTGGGTGGCATATTCTTTAATATAGCATGCATACACGTAACACCCCACAGTGACCGCATACAAGGCCATTTTTTTAGATTTAGCTGTTAGTTTATTTAATTACCAATCATATTATAAACAATTTAAATTTATTGTATTTGAGATATTTTAATTGACATTTTCCCTTTACTTTTGCAGCTTCATATTATACTGTGGGCGCTGCTTTGATATACACGGTGCTTTCACATACTCGACAAATCGATCGACCGATAAATTAGCACTTATCACATTCGTTTAAAAAAAAAAAAAGTCAGGCAAAATGTTACCATTCTGCTGTATAATAGGTGTCGATTGAGTCACTGCAGTGGGTGTATTAAATTTGAATTCAATGATATATCATCATTGTATACGAAAAACGATTCTAAGTGGAGACAGTCTTGTATGTACCTACTAATACTTTAATTGTATATTATCTGTCAATTCACTAAGTAAATTTCACGGTATGTTTTTGACATCCAATGCTTGAATTGGTTAGTTAATAGAATGAGAACACAAATAAAAATTAAATTAACAGCGTTCCAACTGAACATTTGCTTAACACTAGCCCGTGAGGGAATTTGCCCCCCCCATACACCCTTAATTACTACCAACATATTTAAAATTAAATAAATTATAATATATATTATTTTTAACTAAGTGTTAATATATTTACATTTTTAATTACTTCAAACTTTTAATTTTTTTCCTAGTTATATTAAATAGAAAAAAACCATTAAAGGTAGGAAATTCAATTAAAAAACGTATGGTACAATAAACAAAAAAAATATTTCGTTATCATTTATATTTTATATTGCTCGATTGCGTACCTGTGTGTTATTTTAGGAAAATATAGTATGGAAACGCTAATTAATATCAAAAGCTAGTTTTCGAGTACTGTAATGACATCGCTATTAACAAGGTAATTTATTTTACAATTAATAATACGTAGAAAGTTGAATTGATTTTTATCATTTAATGTAAAAATATCGTTGTGTCTATAAAATATAGTAATATACGTGAAAATTCAATTTCCACACGAATAATGTTTTTGAATTATTGATAAAAATAATAAATATCGTTATTATCATAGTTCAATTATATAATTTCGTTCAAATTTGAACTTAAAATGTCTATGAAAAAGAATCGTATATATTTTTAGAATTGTTTTTATTTTAGTATGAACTACTTCTAAGGCACTTAATATTATATTTGTTATTTTCCAACCAATTACAAGTTATCAACTAAAAATTTCATTTATAAATTATCATCTTCAGAAAAGTTTGCAAATGCCCATGATTTTAATGAATTTCATTAAAATTTAACCTTTATACATTCTTAAAAAATTAAATTGTGCATTTATTAAGTATTTTAAATATTTTCATATAGTTTTAAAAACAACTTACCACTAATGTGGGATATTCATTAAAAGTTCAAGTTTTTTGACCAAATAAAAAATTGATAATAACATTTTTACAGAAATAAATCTAAAAAAATAATTTTAATTTAAAATGTCTCAAAATTTCAAAATATTTTGAAAATTTTACCTTTTTATAAAGTTATTATATAATTTTTATTTTTCACCACTCCAAAGTATAAACTAGATCCAATTTCCCACTAGTAAGTAATATAAAAAATACACTCAAAATTGAAAATCGTTATTTTTTTTTACTATTGATGGTGTATGATGTTTACGTAGACGAAAAAAAGATATTGTAAAATCAATTTATTTTTATCTCTCTTTTAAAAATCTATTATGGATATTATATCAAATTCGAATTAAAAAACGATAACGACTACTTACTATTCGCCAACTATCTACACGGGTTGAAAGCTATGATGACTGGAACACAATAAATTGTTTAATTTATCATAGAAAGGTTTTACATTTCTGCAATGTTTTAGAATAGGTAGGTATTCGTTCATAATTATTAATTTGATTTTACATTCATGTATTGTAAAACGTATCTTTTAAATTATTTTATAATCTATAGACTTAATTTGTTTGATTTAGTGACATTGGTACGATGTTACCTGTTCTGATGTTTATTTGGGATTCACCCTCCACACTACCACACCTGTAATCATACCTATATGTCATTTTTAAACTCAAAATAACAATGCTCGCACTCCAAAAATATCACAGCCGCATAGGTTACAAGTACCCAACGCATACAACACGAATTATGTTCAGACTATAACAATTTTAAATCATAATAACACGTACTCTGTCTATAAGGGAAATCTCGAATCCACGATTGCAGATGTCTAGTTGAAAAAACTCTGTTGTGCTTAATTCACAATAATTTCCCAACCAATCTAACAAAATATTTATTCTAAGTTAATCTAAAATTGAAATAAACATATTATTTTAAAACAATAAATTCTAGATTTATATACCACTATGTCTTGTACCAAATACGCAGCTTACTCGCGGGCGGTTAAAAACTTTATTACTGCCAATATTGAATATATAATTATATATAATATGTGGCTTGATGTGACACGATGGTTAGCCTCAGTCGCTATAACGTGTTCAGAGACCCATAAGCATCGACCGGTGTCACTAGTTCCCGTATGGGTGACCATCCGAGAATTTTTAATGATAAATCCTCACCATATATACAAATGTTCCAAAAAATAGTATACCCTCCTACAAATTAAAAAACCGACTACATGCAGGGTATTAACCATTGCTGTTGAAACCTGAAATTCAAAAAATAATAATTATATATATATAATACCTATTATATTGTATAATTGTTTTAATAAACTATAAAAGTATTAACAGGTACTTACCTATAATAGCGTACTTAAAAATTTATGTTAATCATACTAATTATAATTATCTACATTTAATACGTCGTTTTTATAGGAATACGTGAAAACCACAATGAACGAGATGCTCGGATGGTACGGATATGAAAAAATTAATTCCAAAGACTGTTCATTGCAAAGTATGAATTTAGTTAAGCTTAGAGAAAAATATCGAGGCCGTTCAAAAAGCACGGAACCAGAAACTTCGTCGGACGAATACAATAGTCCACAATCGCCAACAACGTCGAGTAATTTAATTTATTTTATTATGCTTAATAATTTTAAATTTACATACCTACTCGTATATACAAGGCTTACCAATTACTAATGAGTAATGACTAATGATTAATGAGTAATAACTATGAAAATTACATTTTAATAGTGACTTAAAACAAAATTAACAAAAATAAAAAGTAATCATACGCACACTGCATTATAACTGCGTGTTTTATTTATATGTCTCTTAAGTAGAAAATAGAACTAAAAATTACGCATCTAGTAATCAATTCTAAATCTGTAACTCAAAACTGCAATGTTAACAATACTTTCTGTGTAAGTTGACATGTCACTGATTCGTTGACCGAAAGTGAAGGTATATTATTGTGCCATGTATGTAGACAAAAGAAAATAAACAAACTAGTCGATTAATAATGGAAATATTTTAACACTCACCTGTATCATTCTGCCATGGCCCATAGGACAGCATTCAGTATAGATAGCTATATCCTGAATTAAGTAAAAAAAATATTAGTTAAAAAATTGAAGATTTGTAACACAGAAATAAATTTTAAGGAATTTATTTTAACTAAATAGGGCTTTGTATAGTGGTATAATTCGATATGTTTACTCAAAATTCGTGCGGAATGAGCCTTGATGGTAAAAAATTTGAACTAGAGGTTTTTGATTTTTCACAGTGAACATTGCGTTGTTCTTAGCTCAAAACTAATTTAAAGACACGAATTCATTGATAAAACTGAAACTCGAATTTTATTTAAATCTGTCATGATGGTTCTTATAATTTATAACCGCACACAATACATATTAATCATACGACAAACTATGTCTGGAGGAGTCAGATGAACTAGATTTCAGTCGATATTGTATATTATTATTATCATCAATTTATCGTGAACATCCGGCGCGTCAAGTACCTACGCACGCGGAATCAGGGCTAACTCGCGCGGAAATAATACTATACCTATACTATACTCACACGCGTGTCATAATATTATGGATATTGTATGTACATATATATAATATATATATGTGGTGTACAACATCTGTACAACTGTTTAAGTGTATACAAATACAACTTAAACATGCGCCATGAGTGTTGTAGTAAAAAAACCGTGGTTATACGTAGTTATATTGCGTACAGTTATTTTCGGTCTCGACAAAGAATGTCCCAAGTCAGCGCATATAACATAATAGTAAAATGTGGCGTGCGCGCCAGACGACTCCGACCGAGTGAACTAGCGCGTACATTACAACATATACTGTATAATAATACGCGTAGCCTTGTTGTGTTCGTATTATATTAAACACCACGTGTGTGTGTGTGTGTGTGTGTGTGTGTGTATACACATAATATCCTTTGGTACGATTTATATATACACGTCCAATCGACGGCGACGTCTAACACAAAGACCCATCCGCGTAGTCGTCTAGTCGTAATACAATATCGTTCGGGCATAAAAAGCGCTCTCGGATGTCTCACATAATGAAAATAAGGGTCATCTCAGTACGAGTCGAATGTGTACCTACTGCAAGCTACAGCCCATCATTCCGTTCCGCGCGTACCGGGCGCGTTGTATTAGGTATATCACAGTATCACACCGATCCCGCTGTTAAAACATCCTGCCACCCGCGACGGGCTAAAAGGTAATCGTTACGTTTAGTTGTATCGTGCCTATTGCCTAAATGAACCCCCGGTGACGGCTATCCTATACGGGTCCGCGTGTTGCTCGAGCAACACATACAAAATTTGGGTGGGTGGGTGAATGGGTGATTGGGTAGATGATGCTGGGTCGTTAATTTATTATATACTATTTATATCTATGGCTTATCAATGTGATGTAATTAAAAACAATACAATAGAAATAAAAGTTCTGAAACAAATCATTTTCAGATCAAAAACCTTTTCCTTGTAACGGTGTAACGTTATTTTTATTTATTATAAATTCAATTCAATCAGCAAACTATAATAAAAATATATTATAATACTTACCAGCTACCTACATGACGTGTAGACTAATTCATATTATTTGGTTTGTAAATGATACATCTGTAAATCAAAATTGTTTGTTTTTGTTATTCCGGGCACTTATATCACCTCCTCTGACCTATAGTAAGTTAGTGGGTAGTGGACTGGGTCATCGGAGATATTTTCAGCAACACATTTTTTTTTTTTTTTTGAAGATAGCCGCCACTGTATAAACTTATGCGCAGGGATGGGCAAGATACTCAAAAATCAGTGTCACTGTACTAGATACTAAATACTTGGATTTGAAATATCGAGATACTAGATACTCGATACTTACATTTTAAGTATTTAGAATTTAGATAATCTATACATTTAAAAAAAATTAGTAATAGGATTTTTTTTTAATTTTATTTATACACAATTACGTAGGTTGTATAGGTATACATATATATTAATTAGTTAATATATACCACAAAATTTAATAATTTAATATTATTACATAAGCAATAAGTAAAGTTAAATCGCGTAGGTACAACGTGTATGTGTGGTGTGTCACAGACAGGGATGGGCAAGATACTTAAAAATCAGTATTGCGATACTAGATACTAAAAACTTGGATTTGGAGTATCAAGATACAATTGTATCTAAGATACTTGTATCGAAGATACTGCCCAACTCTTCCTATGCATACCTAAATGTGTTATTGGATTGGTTAAAAATCGCCGATTAAATAATATAGGTGTATATATAATACATATCATAATTAATATATGCAGTGTTTTGTGAATACCATGGTTAATAATAGTCAACTCCACCATTTGCTGCTCGACACACATTTAATAATGGAATTTACGAATTAGATGTAGATCCAAAACTAAGATCAACGCTACGGGACATACGTTTGACATTTATATCCCTAATCTCCCCTCTAGAATTAAATACCTCAGATGTTTTTCGCACTCTTTTGGTATAAGTATTAAGTACCAACAGCTGATTCCTTATAACTATAATAGGAATGTCATAATTGTCATATTATTAAATACACTCATTTATCATAATATGTATTATACATAAGCCCGTTTAAATAATTGATAGAGGTACCTAATTTAAGCTGGAAAAACTTATAATAACTAAATATTAGGAACCTATCTATGTCTATAGATAAATCTGGTCCAAAATTCATAATAGTCATAACTTGGACCATCCGTTATAAAACATTATGTCGTGAATTATGATCTGATACTGCAGCAGTTTATTGTTATTCGCTATAACTTATTATAATTTTAACAGCTTAAAAAATAGCAAATTCTAAATTTTATTGTAGCATACCTATAATATTTATTAATATTCGATCGTTTGTAACAGACTCACCAGTACAGCAAATGATATGTGGATGGTGTGACAAAACGTTAATAGCCAAAGCGTTTACATTCCGCACGGCAGAATCGGATAACGAAAAAGTGTTTTGTTCCGAACAATGTTTCTCGCACTACCGAAGAGCAAATTTCAAACGAAATAAAACATGCGACTGGTGTAGACATCTGAGACACACAGTTAACTGTGTAGATTTTCAAGACGGCGATCATCAGCTACAATTCTGCAGGTGACAAACGTAAAGAGTTTTTAATTTGATTTTATTTCAGATAAACCGCACAATAGTAAAATAGTTATAATCTCTGTATTCGCCTTCACAGTGATAAGTGTCTGAACCAGTATAAGATGAACATCTTCTGCAAAGAAACTCAAGCCCAACTAGAGTTGCATCCTCACCTACAAAACACGTCGCTGCCAGAAAACCTATGTAAAACCCTGGAGCCGAACTTGCCGCTCATTACACCCGATCTATGGCTACGCGACTGTCATTCACCGCCACTTACAGACCGATCACCATCTCGTCAAAGACCTCATTCCCCTCCACTGCCTGGACCGGCAGTTCCTCAGCTACGCATATCTAATAAACTGTTTGATCGTCAAACCCGAAAACGCAAGAGAACCACAGTAGAAGATACTATACCACCTGTATACCCCAAATTTCCACCACATGCGCCAGCTTACTGTACACCACCGATATGTAGGTCGCCAGCATTCACACAGTCCCAGTCAACAAGTAACAGCTTACCAACAAATGCTGATCCAACACCTTCGCCACTTTACCCATTGAACTTGCCGTCATCATTACTACCACCACCTATGATATTAGTACCATATCCTATTATGTTACCAATACCAATACCTATTCCTATTCCTATACCTTTACCATTTTTACAAAAAGAATGTGATAAAAACAGTAATAAGGAAAAAAATGAAAAAAAATGATAATTATGTACAATCATAAATCATGATAAACAAATTATTTTAAATAATATTATAAATATTATTATAATTATAATTATAAATACTTAACAAACAAAATTTGATTATATAAAAAAAAATTAGTTTTACTATTATAATGCAACCAAAAATATTTCATGTCTTGTTGTATGTAAAAAGATAAATTTAGAACCAGAAAAAATGTTATAATCTAATAATTATAAGTTAATCAATGAATAGGATAATATAAGATTATTTTATAAGCTGTCTATCTCAGAATAAATATTTTCTTCTTGTGGTTTATCATCATCTTCAGCACTGCTCTTATCTTTATTAGCGTCAGGTACCCATAATCCAGAATCTACACAGCGCTTCATGTAATAAGTTGCATCCTCTTGATTCATGTTTTTAATTGTATCTTGCAATAACTGAATATCTTGTGATTCAAAACATTTTTTTAACTCCTAAGACAAACATTATACATACATTAACTATTAACAGACTATAATTACTAATAGACTACTTACATCTGGAAGACTTTCAAAAACTTCAACTGGGTCAAGACCACCTGGTCCTAATCTAGCTTTTCGTTCTTCTTCTTCTATTTCAGCTTGAGCTATACGTAGCTTTTCCTCAGCCCTTTTTCGAATTCGATCTTTGAACATGTTAAGTTCTTCATCAAATGAATCTTTGTACTGTTTTTCAGCTAATTGTATTCTTGAAAAATTTAGTTTGACTAAATCATGAATCAATTTCAAAATTCAATATAAATTTTAAAAATTAACAAATTATTTATTACATATTAATGTGTGATATCACAGCAAGTAATGAATTCAAACATAAAATTTATGAAATTATAAAATTAATATAAAATATCCTACCATAATACATTTAATGATACAATTCAAAAGATTCAAAAATGTTAGAAATAAATTTAAAAGTATAATAAATAATAAATAACAATAAATACCTTGAAAAAAAATGATGGAACACATGCTCTTGGATCAATATTTAGTTGTCTAGATAATTCCAAAATATATTGCATACAAATTGTTTGATGTGCTACGTGTTCCATTAGATCTGATTTCTAAAAATAAAAAAAGTGTTGCTATAAATTTATTATATTAATAATAATTTTCAAACAAAACTTACACCTTCCATTTGTAAATCAATACACCAAATAACCAAATAATTTGCAGTATCTTCACAAACAAGTTGAGGATTTTTTTGTAAATATTCTTGACTGTCTTTATATTTTCTGAGCATACCAAATACTTTCAATTTACTTTTATTTTCATTAATAAATGTTTCTAATCGCTTAGCTTTCTCTTCTTCTGTCAAATTTTCTTCAGTTGGAGGAGGTTTAGGAGTGTTCACAATTGTCTTAGTAAAACCAGGTTTACTTATGGTATCAACATTCCATGGCATTACCTAATTAAAGTCATACATATTACATTAGTAAAAAATGTACTATATCATTTAGTTTATTTCAGCCCTTAGGTCATTTGACGAGCTATTGGTTTGTAAGTAACATTAGTGTTGAAAACTTGAAATAACTTTCTGAAATTTTGATTTTGATACCTATTCAGATCTTAGATAAGACTTGTTTATATAATCTTCATTTAATTTTAATATTATCAAAGAAGTATTAACAATATGACAAGATTAAACACTTAATTTCAAATACTTATTAAAAATTATTGTGGTCTTATGCCAATGCTCATAAAATACTTATAATTTGGGCTCAGATTTATATGAATTATATATATATATATTATAAATAAAGACAAAATCAGAACCTTTCCCTAGTCATGAAACACATTTTTTAAATTACAAGAAATTAAAAGTTTTACTTAGTATAAAAAAAATATATATAAAGGAATGATAGTGTTATACATTTATTATTTACATTACTATACAGACACTCACATTAGGCAGTGGAAATTAAAATTTAAACAAATCCATGTGTTAATTGAAGATTAAAATCAGACGAGTCCACTATCATTAAAATATTTAAATATATTATATTGACATAATCTTTACGCATTTATTTAAGTGTTATGAACTTGTAATATTATATTTTAAAAAGTTTATCAAATTTACTAAGTGGTTGGTAACAAATGTGATGCCTATAAATAAAAAAGATATTTCTTCCAACAATATAAATCACAGAGCAGCTGAAATTTCTAAAAGCATTAAATACCTATATGACACAAGTTGTTATTCTAGGTTGAATTTAATAAATTTAATGAAGCCTAAAACACACTAAAATCAAACATAGGCATTAAGCTTCAAACATAAACATCACCTTGTTTCATTATTGTATGGTCGATTGTTGATCAATAATGTACAATAAATAATAATTGATGTCACAATAATAACTGATAACATAACATTATCAAGAATAACAATAAAAGGATTTTATACAAAATAAAATAAAAAATATATTATCTAAGTTTTAAGAAATAGAATAAATTATAGATTTGAGTTAAAAGCCCGGTGTTTAAACCAAAAATATAAATATATATATATATATGCAAAAACTAATAGGTAATAGTAATTCATTGATACCTTTTCTTTAACTTTGAACTCTTCTTCTCGTTTTTTTAATTCTTCTTCTTCAACACTTAAAGCGCTTAATGCTTCTTCAAGTTCTTTTTTATTTTTTCCTTCTTGGCCAACTGTCAGAAGTTTATTTTTAGTTTCTTCATACTTTTCTTGAAAACTAAAACAATAATATTTACAATTTACTACTTTACACTGTTAAAAACAATGAAATATTTTACGTTTTTTTCTTAATTTCCAATTCTTGTTGTTCACGTTTTATTTCTTCCATACGTTCAATACGAGCCTGATGTCTCCAACGAAATAATGATGGTGTATCAATGTTAGGATGGGTTTCATCTTCGTCATCAGACACCTATAATGTAAAACCATTAAACATAAGAAATATCCAAACGTACAAAATATGGGATAAACTTACTTCAATATTCTTCCACTTGCTATAATCAACCATTGTAGATGGATTTTTTATATGAGGTGTAAACGATTCAAAACTGAATAAAAATGTGTTCGACGACAATTGTAACAACAATTATAACACAACTATTACCTCACGAGGTAGAATATTTAAAAAAATATTAATTATTTTTTACGAATCAAATTGTTTTACTATACACAGTATACTCTATTCTGTAATAAATTGTACTACTTGATTATTAAACGTACTTCACTATGGAAAATAAAGCTTAGAGCATAGAATAACTTTAAACTTTAAACATAACACAGTTTTTAACTACGCAAAGGGCACAAGCACAATATTATTCTGATTAGCGATTTCTGGAACATTCGTCGTTATCCATATCAACGTCATGGAAAAAAAGCAAATTCTCAAAAAAATATCACGGTAATATTATTGTAAAAAATATATTTAGTTCCATGAACATTATCAGATTATCATTAAAATATAAATGTGTTATCATTAATTATGAATATTGAATTCTATTTATTTTTTCATAATCGGTATTTATAATCGAATCATTAGTAATTGGTATTATATTAGCGGTCTATTACTCCAATACTCCACTACTCCAGTGTCCAGTATTTGCTATTTAGACTCCCACTACGACTACTCCCATGGTCCAGGCGTCGGAACTAGCAGCTGCAGAAATCAGAATATCACTGACAGGGTAGAATATAGATTACCTACAGAACATTAAGTATTAAATTCAGTTACATTAGCCTATTAGATATATATCAAATGAACGGCTTTCAATAAACCCACTGAAGAATACATTAATTGAATATTTTAAAAGTAGGAATACAAAATGATAAAATAAAATCTCATTTGAATATAGGTTATAACTTATAACTTATAGGTTACATTCACAACCATAAGCAAACCATTTATCATTAGCCACCTCAAACGCTGTTTTTTGATTTTTAATGGAGCAAAAGTATCGTTTTTCCCCCCTGAATAATACCAGGAAGGCTGCAATATGCAATACCTATGGTTGACAGGTGAGCAGAAGCCAAAAATCCCAACTTGGGCACCTATCATCCTTGTCATAGAACCCAGGATCATTTTCTTTAGGCTTTAAAATATAACAGTATAACATTATGCTAAATAGACTTTAACTAATAATAACTTTTTAATAGAATAATATTTAGACGCATCACTCTGATGGTTCTATTGTTGAACGACCGTCAATGTTCCTACATCTTGCATTATGTTATAATACTTACACCTTTACACCACAGAATACATTAAATTTAATCTATTCTGTGCTTATACGTAAAATCACTATAGTTGATACCTGATACATTACCTACCTATTTTGTTCTTAAAATATACCATACGTTACATGTTATTTAAAAATAACTTTCAAGATCACATGTAATGATAATAAAATATTATTAATTAAAAATAATCCTTTTTTTTATCATTTTTCGTTGATTAATAATAAAACATAATATGATTATTTGTTACATTAATTAATAATACATGTTCTTACATTTCTTCATTAGTCATTTAATCGTCATTCATCAATATCTATTTGAATTTTGAATCAGTACCTACAGATATCAAATTTATTTATTTAATAAATTATGTTGAAGTACTGTCTATAATAATTAAGTAGGTATACCTAATTTAAACAATAACTTCCAAATAAGGTTAAATCAAAATCTGAGCAGCAAATAAATTCCATAAATACTTAAGTACATGTGCACCACAATAACACGTAAATTCATAAGTATTAATACAATCTAATAATAAGAAAATAGGTTTACAAAATTAAACCAAATTTTCTTGAAGCCTTATCTTTATTTAAATATTATACATTATAATATATTGTTACAATACATTTTTAAATAAGTTTGCTAAAAATTGTATTCTAGCTAATAATTCAACAAAATATACCAATAATAAAGTCCAAGTATAAAATTTCAATATATTTTTATTTTATTACGTAATACGTTGGTATGAAATTGTGACAGGAGCGGTAGATTTACATTGTACCTACCTATTGATTTTATAATGCGTGTATTCAAATTTTTACAATATTTGTCAAAACCACAGATGGCTAAAAAATCTTCAATCTTTATAGCTAAAATTATCAATTTAATACAATATTTCTCTTAAGTAGTTCATAGTGGAACTAAAAATCTAAAATAAATATAAACATAATTATTTTTTTTATAGATAATTGAAGTTTAAACCTGGAGAACATTTTATATTTAAACCATAAACAACAATAAGTTTATTTATTTTTTATAATTTAAAAACATTAGCCACTGTGACTTAAAACTTTTACCTATATTATGAATTTAATTACAAGCAATGATATTTAAAAAAATATAAATTCATTTTCAGATATAATCTTAATATGTTATCTATATTATGAATGATGAACCTATTCCACTGCTGTTTTATGGTAAAGTACTAAAGTAGTATTGACACAATAATATAGTAAGTATTAATTACCTTTACTATTTTTATTTTTATTAAACATTAATAATAGTATAATAAATGCAGTGTTTTCAACAGAAACTTACTCAATATTTAAATATTAAGTTTGATGATATCTATATATAGAGATAACAAAAATATTATGTATTTGATTTAATTAAAATATTTATTATTTTATTTTCGAAGAAAATAAAATTTAAATTAAGTACCAATATTACGTAACAACCATTAAACATTAAACAAAGATTAAGTTTAGTTATACTGTACCCTTTCTATTTTTTTCACATCAAAGTTATTAATAACTTCGTTCGAGTTAATAGTTTTGAATAGTTCTTGTTTCACCGCTGTTCACTAATACTCCTAAGCTTGTTAGTCTGTGTAAACGCAAGTAAAACATTTTTAACTCTTAACGGTACTGAACTACTGAGAAATAGCGAACTACGCACTTACTTACTGTAATAGAAATTATGGTACCATCCAAAGAACAACAGTTAAGTAAGAATTTCAGAAAATACATTTTCCAGGTATAAAGTTTTGATGTACCTATAATATGGAAGATCCCAAAGCGAGTATCTTTGCAAAATTGACTGAGTATATCAATTTTAAACTTTGGAGTTCATTTGTAAGCTGATGTCCTAAGTCCTTTGGGTATCGTTTTACCAATGCAGTAGGTTTTTCTTAAATTTGGTCTATTGTCATTTCTTTATTCAACAGAAATATTTTCGTACAGAAAATGTACTGATATTTAATTCGTACCTAATTGTCATGTTTCCTATAACACTATATTTAAGATAATATTGAAAACTTTACACTTGAAAATAGTTTTTTGATCATTATCTGGTTTTTTGTTTTTGTTATAATTATCCTTAAGTATTTTTCGTTCTTCTTTGAGAAATTGAAACCAACCTAATTTTTTAACCATTATTAGAGTTTATAAGTATTTTATCCCAACCTTCATTCCAGAGTTTTTTCAAGTCTTCAACCAATAAAATTATATTTTTTGAAAAAATCTATTATTTCACTTGTATATTGTTATATACGGTTTACAATGTCAATTGATTATAAGATCTTAAACCAAATAGAGTCTAGGTATGGGTAGTTAAAAGTTTTAAAATATTTTACAATGTCTGAATGAATGTATGATACAGCCAATATATCTCGCTGACATTCTCTTCATACTTTATACCTCTGAAAGATGTGCAGAAACAGGTTTTTCTTTGTCAATTTGCACTAACTAGCATTTTCTTGCCATTGAATAAAGAAAGAATGATATTTTTTTTGTGGGAGCTAAAGATACGTATTTTTTAAAGAGTTCCAAAAAGTGTAACAGCCACTGGAGAGTTCTCTGAAGTTTATTCCGCACAGAATTTCTAACTACAAAATAATTAGTACATTTTTGAGATTAAACATTTATAAAAAAAATATCATGATTATAAATTTCGATATTTTTAATGGAATTTATAAGGAGCTTTGTACAAAATGTTCAATTATCTCTACCCAATGAATAATTTTTAATCTAGATTTATATATATAAAAAAAAATAAAACACTTCACAAGAATCAAAATATTTTGAAAATGTTATCATAAATATAAAAGTTTAATAAAAAGAATTGGTGAGCATTTCAAGTATTTACTACCTACAGTTATTTTTTTTCGAATTACACCAAAAAAAAAACAAAATAATTCTGTTAAAAAATTAAATTTGCGTAAAAATTTGCGTATTTCTTTCATTTTTTTCCCCAATTATAAGAAATTGTACTGGGAGTTTTTAATTTTGACTTCTCTAAAGTACAAAATAAATCCAATGTTTTATTTAAAACCATCTCTAAAGGATAAAATTGAAAATGGATAGTATGTCATCGGGTATTAATTATGTACGCACTAAAAAAACACATCATTGAAAATCAATACATTCATTACTCTGCTCAGTATCTAAAATTAAAATGTTATAAAATATAAATAGTTAATTTATAGAATAAATATAATTTCCTCCTTTATTTTAAATTAGTTATATTTCCAACATGGGCGGTATTGCCCCCCTCCCACCTTATGGGCATTTTTAGTTTTGAGAGAGGGGACATTTCACTTAAGGGGGTGTTAAGAGGAGCGATTCTACTGTGGCGTTCATTCAGTTCAACAAATTCTGACAAATCAAAAAATTGGTTGGAAATATTTTAAAAGGGAGATTTAAGACTGATGCTGAAATTCATCGAGCCTGATATCATTTTATTAGCAGGAAATCATCAACCTCAAGGTACTAGGGAGTCACTAGTCAAAAGTAATTTGTCTATAATTCTTTAATAGTCAATTTTATCTTATATTTATTTATATAATTTATATCTTTAATAGATTTAAGAATTAAATGACTGATTTTAAAAATTAAATTAAATTTTTTTAATTTATATCTGAGGGGAGGAAAGTTTTTGAAAATCTAAAAGGGGCGTTGAGTTAAAAAAGGTTGGTAATCACTGCTTTAAATTATTAAATTTATTTTAAATAAGTTTTTTGATAATTAGCCATCAATAATTTTGATAGTTCAAATAATTATCCGATAGAATCGATAGACAATAACCGATTCCTAAAAAATACTTATGAATAAATTGTAAGCAAATTTAGTTTAAGAAAAAAACAATGAACAAAAAGAAATATGTTACTTTAAGTACCTATTGTAAATTATAATAAAGTTTACTTATAACCATTATTGGTGAAAAAAATTAACCATCTGGCCTCTTAATATGAATTTATAATTATGGCTATTGTTTGGGCTCACAGTACCCAATCCTATCTCCGAGCACATTGCATCATCATAAATCATAATTACCAATTTATAAAATCATAACAATTAACGATATCGTGTTTAATGCCCTATGGCCTATGGCCTTAAGGTTATAGCATCACCATTCACTAACATTATCGATGCGCGCGTCGTATTATCACTTCCTCCTCCCAACCCTCGCTGTGGAATCATAATACCACCCTACGTTCAAACTCGTACCTAAAATATAAAACCCTCGGCGGACCCTGACCTGACGTCTATTGTCATTAATGTCATAATTTTTTTTTATTTTTTTTTTATATATACATCAAACCATCACTTGGTCACAGCAGCCGTGGCTCGAAGCCCGAAACTATCCCCTATGGCTAAAAGCAACTTTAACGGCTACCACTATAGAATCATAATAATTGTACTATTATAGTACGCGCATTAGTCGCAGCGGTGTCCGGCGTGATTGTCGGTTTGGTAGTTCGTGCTCTCGTATTCTCTCTGTTTTCCTAATAGTGCTAATACCCAATTCCCATTCCATTCGAGGCCTCAGCAACAGCAGCAGCTGAGCGAACGCGAAATAATATCTCTACAATCGTTATTAATTTATTATTATTGTTAATTAACAATTAAATATTAAATGTTAAGAACATCGTAGACCGACGTTGATCCGCGTTGCTATTGTTGCCAGGCATAGTCCGTCATCTGTCGGGAAAACCGCCGCAACCGGCCAAGAAAAAATACCTGTGACTAATCGGCAATCGCCTATCGGGCATCGGCATTCGGCAGTTGCCCGCGTGCACCACGACTGTGTACAGTGGTGCGGAGAGGACGGTGATATGTATTCGATTGCGATAACGATAAACGACGCTTTCGAGTTTCGAGCCTTTTAATCCATAAGGAGTACGGCTCGTCACCGGTGGTCGTAATTAGTAATTACGACGCGTCTTATCGATTCTCGGCTAGTCGTTCGTGATCTCACACGATCGTAGTCGACATTTATCGCGTTACAGGATGATCGAATTCGGCTGTGTACGGCTTCTTCTAGGGTCCCAACATCGGAGATAAAAACAGTAGTAACGACGACGATACCTACTCCTACGTTCAATAGTACCAAAAAAAAAAAAAAGAAACAACGACAATGGATTTGTACGACGTCAACGTGACTGCTCAAACCAAAGGTAGGACCTTACCCTAATTTGTGTTTTACTTTTGACAGATCGATAGATGACAGTGATGAATGTGTTTCAGGTAACTACAGTTGTTACGACGGCGGAGGCTGTGCAAACAACACAGCTATGGCACCATATAATGCTGTTCTGGACTCTATCACCATGGCTATGCTCAACCAATTGTGTTTACCCTCGGTGTTCAATCATCCCTATTTTCATTTTTCACACGCCATCATGTTTATTTGCTTCATGCTGCCATTTGGATCTCCTTGTCAGTTGATTCTCCTAATACGCATTGGTTTGGCGGGAGCCACTACCATTATGGCTTTGTGGGCTCGAAACGTCCAGTGTTGGGTTGACAGCCTTTTGTGGAATGCTGCTTCAGCTGTTGTCAATATCATACATGTTTTAGTATTATTTTATCAACTCAGGCCAATCAAGTTTAATGATGAATTAGAACTAGTAAATATTTTGAATTTCTTTTCTTCTTTAAAGTGTATCAGTGCACTTTTTATTTTATCACCTCTCACTCACAACATAATAAATAATGTTCGACTAAACCAACTGTGTATTGTTAAGTTTATTATTAGAGTCAACCAACCTATTTTTAAACTTGACTTTAAGAAAATTATCTATTAAAAATACTCATCAATTCAAAAATTAAAATATTGTAAAAAAGTTAATATACGAACATGAATGTTCTAAACTTTATGTTTAGATAAATTCATTTTGATACTAAAGCTAACAATACAAGGTTGGTCTGCTTAACACAAATTTTCTATGTTGTGTGTTGGATCAGGAATAGAAAAAAAATAGTGCGCTAGCTTACATCTTCTAAAATTGTTTGATATTTTATTATTAATGTTTTTAGGTGTATGAAACGCTTTTCTACCCTTTAAAAGTTAGCCGTAAACAATTTAGAAAAATAATTTCTTGTATGAAAATGATTCGGCCTCTAAAAACTCTTGAAATATTTGCTGAAGAAAAAGTAACAAGAGTTGATAGCTTATCGTTGGTACTTTCAGGAAAGTAAGTGAAAATTAAGTCTTATAAATAAGTATTAATTGGTTAAAACTTAACATTAAGTTCCAAGACTTATGCTCAGTCTATACTTATATATTTTTTTTAAATAATTATTTCATTATTTACATTTTAACAATGTAAAAAATATGAAAATATGTTTTCAAAATCCTAAATTTGTGGTGGGTAAGTGAAATTAATAAAAATAATTTTATTAACACATTAATTAGTTTATTAAATTAATTTATGTAAAAAATTTATATATCAGTATAAATAATAAATTAATTTATAATTATTATTAAACTTGTTATTAAAAACAATTTGGTAATTAATAATTATCTGTACTAACTGATTAAATACATGAATTAATATTACTTTTTAACCTTCAATATCAAAATAGAATCTAAGTCTTTAAAATATGTAGAATATTATTATTTAATTAAAATTAATATGTTTTTTTAATTACATAATGTATTTCATATAAGACAAATAAATACTAAATATGTAATAATTTATATTATTTGTGTGATCTTACATTTCTTAGGGTATTTATACTCTAATTATTAATTTTTTTATGTTACATTTATTATTTTCTTTTATGTTATAGATTAGTAATATCACAGAATGGTAATGCTCTGCATATTGTCTTCCCATATCAGTTTCTAGATTCTCCAGAATGGTTTGGTGTATCTACTGATGAATTCTTCCAAGTAATAAGTTATATTATTGTAGATGTTGCAATTTTAAATTAATCAAAATTATAAATAATTTTAGGTATCAGTTACAGCTGTAGAAGATTCCAGGGTATTATTATGGCATAGAGACAAATTAAGATTATCAATAATTACAGATAAATTTTTATACACTATTTTTGATCACATTCTTGGTCGAGATGTTGTAAAAAAACTTATGCAGGTACTAAACCATCTTAATGTTTCCTATTTTCTTTAAGTGCATAAAACTAACTTAATACATGTTTTGTAATTGAACTCTTAGGTAAGTGAAACTATGTCTAATGGACATTTACCTAATCAGTGGTATGATGGAGAAGAAACTGAAATGGCAAATAATGTAAATGATGAGAAACAAACAGTTCTTTATTTAAAGCGTAATGGTGATGGACAAGCAGGCATTGAAACTATATTGAAACGAGAGCTACAAGGTATGTAACTAAACAATATAAACTAGTTAAAAATTAAATTATAATTATAATTTATATAATATGTATATATTAATTATTTTTACTAGAAGTTAGTTACCATGTAATATAAGCTGTGATTTATCTTTGTAATATATTAAAATAAAATAATCAGAATTCAAACTCATACAGAAAACAATCTATATCAATATAAATTAATAATATATTGTGTTAGTTAAAAGTAGGTTTATTAAAATTAAATTTATATTTAAATATTGTGCATTTTTTATCAACACATTTTCATATATTTAAAATGTAAAACTTTAAAACTTTCTAAATATTACTTTTTTTTTTTTTGAAAAGATTCATTAGAAAAAGTCCAGCATTAAATTTATTCACCTGTTATAGTAATAAATTATTAAATTATTTTGTTAACAGCTTATGATTGTACAAAATATTTAATACTTTCACTATAAATAATTAATTAGAAATAATAATGGAAATGACAATTTATTTTAATCAAGTTATTGAATATGCATTAAATAATTATTAATATTTGTGAATCAATGAAAAAATAAATTGTATGTAACTAAATTAATATTATTTTTTTCCCTGCAATTATAAGTCTTAAATGCAACCATTAAAAGGTAAGCAGTTTTTGTGTTATACGCTTTTATATGATTTCTTATTTTTTATCATAAATACACGATTAAAACTACTACAAATTACCAATAACATTAAAGCTGAACTTAATTTATTTATATTTACTTCTGAGTTAAATAATCTTTAAAATTATAAGAGAAAAAATGATTACAAAGAATAAAGAATTATAAATACAATATTAATAATAATAAAAAAAAATATGTCAAAGTTTTTAATATTTTGACTATAATAAACTAATAATAGTTATATCAAAAATCCAGTTTAATCGTTTAGTTTTTTATTTATGTAAGTAAAACAGAAATGCATAAACATTAAGAATAATACTTTAACATTTAGGTGTCCATATTTATAACACTATTCAATTTAAATTTAATGTTATTTCTTACTAAATGAATTTGGTAATTATTAATTTTTCATCTATTAGAAAATTATGTTCACTATAATTTAAATTTAGTCATAGATTTTTCTTATCTTAAATTAGTTTAGTCAATGTGTGATGATTTTCATATGCTAGTAAATTATTAAAAGTATATTATTATATAATAATTGCTTTGCTCTGTAAAATAAATCATTAGAATTTTTGTGTTTTTCTTTTAAGCATGAAACTTTAATAGTAATTTGTTATGAAATTAGTTTTTGCATGATTTACTTGTGTTATTATTAGAGAATGAAAACGCATGCATGGAACACTGTCCATTGATTAATGACCAATCTTCGTGGTACTCGCAACAGACTCTACGTAACGTGTTGAGAACTCTTCACAGGTAACAACATTTAAGTAAGTGTAGTATGAATTTTACAAAATGTGTAGTATAATTGTTTGATGGCTATTCTAAAATATGCAATACAATGTTTTATAATTGAGTGTAAGTTTATATGTATATATACTTTGTAATCTTGTGGACTGGATAGATATTATTGAACATCAAAATGTTTTATATAAAATATTAAAATATTACAAATGTGTTTGTATAAATAATATATTAATGTTAATGCCTATGCCTATTCTTTATAAGCAATGCTTGTGGTGAGAGTAAAGAGTAATTAATATTTCATTATAGTAACTTAAGATTTAAATTTAAAATATCACTTGTATATATAGTATATACGTTTTACTTAGTCATGAACAAAACATAATTAATTTATTATTAATTATTAAAATACAGATTTGTCGCTGTTTTAGCATCACATCCAATGGCTTATAAATAGTGTAAATACTTTAATAGGATCACTATTACCTAACTCCTGAATTTAATCAATTTACCCCTGTATGATAAAATATACAAATAAGTATCAATATTATAGCTTAAGTTAATCAATATTTTATTTTTCTATAAACCAAGCTATATGATAATTAAATTCAACATGTTAAAATAATATTGGACAATCTTTTATTAGTATTTAGTTTGTTTAATAAATTCAATTTTGTTTCAGGTGACCCAAATGGCTGGAAATTGAGTAGAATTGAAGAAGTCGACCATGAGACTCCAGTGTAAAATAAAATACAAAATATATTTCCTTAAAAATTAATAATCTTGTGATCTTAGAATAAGTTTATATCTGTGTTTTCTTTTTAACTCTGACACTTTGGTGTTGTTTTTATATTTACCTCTGTCAGATTTGATTTTTGGCACCTATCGAATTTAACAATCACTGTAGTAATATCAATTTATTTTATTAACTTTTCTTAATTTTAAGATTTTTAACAAAAGAAAATTTATTGAAATGTTTGATGAAACAAATATTACTTGTAAACTAGCTCCTTGTTTTCTTTGAGTAATAACATAAATTTTGTTTTGTTTCAAAGGTACTGATATTCAAATGTTTTAACTAATAAATATATTACATGTTGTTTATTGTTGTTCAAATACTATGATGTATTAATTATTAATATGATAATGTATTACTAAAGTGATATTTAAAAAATTAACTAGTCCATTATTAATAATTATAAAATTTGTATGTAATTGTGTATAATATATAAATTTATATAGTGTCTCTTTCAGTGGCGTGGCGAAGTGAAATATTTTATCGGGCAATTCATTTTTTGAATAACCTACCACCCCTTAATTCTTACACAGTACCCGCTACCCATGACCCATGTGCCATACTATATACAACAAAAAAGTACTTTTATTAAATCAATATAAATTACTTTATTTTACAAACGGCTGAAACCTGGATATTTCCGAGTTTATGATTCTAAAAATAGATTATATCGCAATAATATAATATTCTCAAGATGCTTATGCCGGAATGCCTATGCCGATGCCCTCATAGTCACTAGCATAATACTATAATTTCTTATTTTAATTTATTGCTTATTCGTAGAATGTACACTGTAGTATAATGTGTAATTAATAATATGTAGGTATACTATTAGATAGCTTTTCTTAGCATAATTATAACTATTGAAGTTATTATTCTTATTAAATAACAAATTAATTCAGATGATGTAGTCAGGTAGTCTTGTATAATAATATTTCTTACTAAATCCAGTACCCACCAACCCAGCACCCACCCCTTAAAAATGATCGGGCATCTGCCCTTCAAAATCACGGTCAACACGCCACTGGTCTCTTTGTCTCGGGACTGTTTATGTAATGTCAACTAAAACTACTAAATTATAGTATTTGTTATAATACTCCTGCTACTAAAAATTAACCTGAGGCGTTGGGACACTCTGTGTTGTGTAATATTTAAATAGGGTAATCCAGTTAACATAATTTGTGTTAAATGGATCATCTAGTATTACATATTTTATTGTATGAATATTGTTATAATTTATACTTATAAAAATCATATTGTAATTGTACAAAATTTTGGTTTAAAAAAAAGTGTGATGAATGAAATAAAAATATATATTCAAATATGTTTTTTATTATTTATTTATTATTAGAAACTATTAACTAGTTCATGAGATTTAAATGCTAAGAGCAATCATGCAATCAAAATTCAATGTTTGGTTTTAGTTTCGAAGTTAAATTGAATATTCTAAAATGTCCATGCTTTGAATACCTATTATATTATAAATTAATTTACTAAGAATTGTTTAATTAAAAGAAGTAAAAACGTTTTAAAATGTTTAGTCAAAGAAAAATATATTAAATCAGCTTTAACTTTTTTGGCTAATAAAACTTATGAAACAATTAAACTAACATTTTACAAAAAGTTTGTTTTAGGTATTTTTTAAATGTTTGGGAAGCTTTTATTAATTTATCATTGAATTTACATTTTTTAAAACTTATACACATACACGAGAAAGTAACAAACTATAATGATGTGCATCCAAGCAATCATATATGATTAAAATTAAATACAGTATAATAAGATAATTTAAAATAATTATGATGATCTGTAGTTATAAATAGTTTATTAAATAAGATAAGATTATAAGAACGATAGATAACACACATACAGGATATTATAAAAAAGACCGGTTACAGAGTGTCCTTACCGTCTTCTTGTATAGACGATGACAAGCAAGAGTAAAATACTACGTAGATCGGATATACAAGAAGACGTAAGTGTTGAAGTTGTTAATAATTAAAATTAAATATATATTAAATAACTCATGTATTGAAAAAATTGTAATAAAGTTAATAAGTTTACTTAAATAAAAAAAAGTATCGTAATTTTTTAACGCACACTGGTTACCTTACAACGTACTCAAGACATCATTAGAGAAGTCGCTATCAGAAAGAAGAAAGGTAATTTACTAATTTGTGATTAATTTAAAGGCTTAGTCGAACCATTCGAACCCGATATATAAATATTATAACGTCCTTTTAAATTATTACAAAACCATCTATTTACAGACTAGGCTAGTTATAGCGAGCATATTCAGCACGATTTTAGAATAAACTCGTGTTAAAAATTAGCGACCTAATTTAATTTTAAATAATTCCATTTTCAGGTGGCACTGGAGCAATTTACAAACTTAAAACTGTTATAAAATTAAAATAATATAATAACGTAAGTACAACATCGTAGTGGATAATGTATTATAATTTATATGGAATTAATAAATGTGTTTATTCAACTTAATTAAATTTATTATTCGCGTAATAACGTCAACTTAATACTAGGGCCACACATGGGAATTGTAATCTTTTCAAAATAAATAATAGGAATATCTAAACTTCCGTTCGTATCAACTGTTATTTTTGGGATATAAACAATATCAATCTTCTTACCTATCTATTGTCAAAATCTTATATGTAATAAAGTTTTGTCGAGTTTTTTGATCAAACAGAATACTATTCTCGCCCAAACGATATACAGCCCTCTGTAAAAGTTAATCAAAACGGTATGTTTTATAAATTCATAAAAACCGTACAGATTTAAGATGGATGAGGCCGAGAGAAATAAATAACAATAAGTCTACTTTATCAAAATGCTTCTAAAAGTATGTAGGTATCTATAGATATCATAAAATTGATTACAGTACCTACTATAAGTTTTAAAATTTAAAGCATTTATCAAATTAGATAACTAAATTAGATATAATTAATTAGTAAAAATTAGATATTTCGCTAAAAAAGTGTTATGACCTGGAGGGATGTATAATATGTATATTATTAATTAATAAGTTTGAAATAATAAAAGGTTAATAATCTTGGTATAATTGAAAATTTAGAAATTGGCTAATAATTCTTCATACTATTTTATAGCAGTATTCAGGGGCGGACTGGGATTAAAAATGTCACCAGGATTTAGAATTAGAGTGGCCACATACATATACATATTGATTGAATATAAAAAAGTTTATTAAAATATTAAATAGAACTCATTTTTTACACTTCAGATTTTTAAAAAATATAACATCAAACACATATATTATTTGTCCAATTATTCCTTATTACTTATTAGCTAATTTATTATAAAAGCGTTTTAAAATTAAAACAAAAGTTTTTTTTATTAAATGTTCACTAGTCATAGCTAAGTTATTAATAATTTCATCATTATTAAGTTTAGTTAATATATATTTTTCACATGACATTAGTATAAATGCTTCTAAGTTAGGTTGGCTTAATGAATTTCTTAATCGATTTAATATATACTTAAGAGTAGAAAAATTTCTTTCACAGGTTAAGTAACCTGTTACAAGTGTAAAGAAGATAAACTTAAAATAAACTTATAAGCTAAGTACAACTTATCATATGCTCATAACAATCTCAAGTACATTTTTCCAGTAAGAACTGTTTCAAATTTAATTAATTTCTCCTGCAGTAAATCGTGTTGGTGAATTAAATTCTAAAGAAGAAGACATTTCTTCTAGAGCCATTATAAAATCAATATATATACAGGAATTTGAATCACAATTGTACCAACCAAATATATTAGTTAACGCTCTATCTTTTGACCACTAACGAGTTTTTCCTATTGACGTGATATATTTTTTTTTATATTTTCTTAAAGTTTGCATTCTAATGAACGATTTTTAAAAAAAATATCGCACATGTGTTTAACACTCCAAATAAATTAATTGAAAAAGTTTTATTTTCAGTCACATCAGCCATTACAAGGTTTAAAATGTGTGCGTAACACCAAACATTCAACAAATCACCACCGACTTCTTTATTTAACCACGAACCAAATCCATTGTATTGGCTTTGCATATTTGCCGCTCCATCAGTTGAAGTATCAATATATTTTGAAATATTAATTTTTAAATTTTTCAAATCTTCACAAATATAATTAGATAAACATTTTCCTTGTGTCGATTTACAGTCAATTAACGAAATCAGACGTTCATTAATTTTATTTTCTATGACAACGAATAATGACAGAATATTGGTCATGTACATTTATATCTTGAGTAGTGTCGATTTGCAAAGAAAAAAATTCTGTTTCCGATATTCCGTGACTTATTTTATTTTTAATCAGTTTTGAGATAATTTGTATAATATTATTGACCATTGTTTTAGATAAAAATGTCTCCAAATTACCTCTTCCTTTACTAATTATACCAACACCTGCGTTTTCAATCCGAAATTTTCTGTGTTCTTCACTTTTTTCACACGATTCTTTTAGATGATTTTTTAATAATGGATCAAATTTATTTAAAAAAATTAAAAGTTCTAAAAAGTTACCGTGATCAATAGTCTCGTTAAACAAATTATTAACAGCTTCAGAGTTACCCGTTCCACGGTAAGAAAGACCTCTTCCCAATTAATTTTATAGTTTCAATAATACGTAACATAATTTCTTGCCTATTTCTCACTTCCATTTGTCTTTGTGATGTTATTTGTCCGTAAATTAAATGTTTAATATTTAATTGGTTTTTAAACAACATAAAATTTTCTGCACAATCGGAATGATTTTTACTTAATTCATGTTCGTCAACCGGGAAATTTCCCGGCGTCCCGGTGCGCTAGTCCGCCCCTGGCAGTATTCTCTACAGATTTGATAAATGAAGAAATAAAAGACTTTTTTCCAAACGTTTAGAAATACTTTGGTCTAGTAAAAAGTGATAAATAAAAAATAATATAAAAGCTTAATAATTACATCATATTTTTTTTTTTATACGGAAATAAACATCAGATCCACATCATGGTTTTGAAATATGTACAAGGATAATCTTATATCTAGTGATGTGCATCATGAATTTTGTATTTTTAAAGAAGAATTTAGAAAGAGATTTATTGCCTCATAAAAACAAATATTAGGTATACTTTGTTTATATAGCGTTGCCATTAGTTACGGAAATTTAAATTTAAATAGTTATTACAAATTACTATTGTATTATAACTATTTATAACAATAAAATAAACAAAAGAAATTGAAAATTGCATGTATTTTAATGAAAACCTCGACGATTAAAGCATATTTTTTTATTGGTACCTATATATATTTTATTTAGACTGGTAGCTCAAGAGTTTTTCAAATATTATATTCAGCTGCTCTATTATTCAGAAATGTAAAACTACATATAATTTTTGTGAAATTTGTAGAATTAATCCAGTAAATAGATTTGCATGAAATTAATTTTAATTGTCTAGCTATAACTTAGCTATAAGTTATAGCAGCCTAACCTAAGTCCTAAAGTAATAAGTGTTATGTCTATTGATAGGAAATGTTATGTTCATTAAAGTTCTTTAACTGCATTGACAATAATTTGAATAGTTTTATTAGTAATCGCAATAATACTGCAATATATTTAAATGTATTCGTTGTATAGTTATTACTTTATAGTTTGTTTTACGCAAGTCTAAAAACAATTTGCGTTATGATACCTTTGACCCCACAATAATGTTACTGCTAATACTATTACTTTTTAGCATGCAACTTAGGCAATAATTGTATTCATTTATGCATAAAAAGTATGTTTTAAATTTACATTTAAGTTAGTATTGATAAGCAGCGGTAGTTAGGTTTTTAGCTATTTTAATGAAGGATTTTTGTGATATAATGTTGGCAACGTCGGCTTTGCAAAAAAAACTTTTTTTATTATCTTGATACGAGAAAATTGTTGTTCCAAAGTTGATATAACTGATCTCCCGAAATTTGATTTGGTGATATCTCGCTATTATCAAAATCGGGAAAACTGTACCAGCGCCCTTCAATCTTCATTACTCCTCAAGACCACAATTGGCTCAATTGCTCATTAGTCATTACGGTCTTAAAAGATCTTCAAAGATTGTATGTGTTATTAATATTATTATAATCATTATTTATTATATTATTTTGTAATTTCACTGACCGTACTATAATTACTATTCAATTATTTATTTATAATTTATATTGTACATTTGTTTTGTACCAAAAAACATTACTTAGTACTTCATGTATTTAATCATTGGTTTCATGTTAATTTAAAATTAACAGTTGTTACTTGCCAGTGTAAACTATTGGTGTATGCAATCATATTGAGCGCAGACAGTGCAGAGTATACATAACGAATAACCAAATTGAATTAATTCAAATTTAGTTTTTGTTAATATATTAATAGAGAAATGTCTGCGGAAGATGTGCTATTCGATATGTTACACTCAGAAATTGTGTCATATTTAGTGTCCAAATCCGCGGAGGTAATTATTTAATGACTAATAGTTACATAATTTAATGCTTTTAACATTTTAACTGAATAAAATTTAATTTTGTCTAAATTACTAAAATTACAAAATTGTTAATTTAGGATGAAGATATATCAATATTAGAACACTTGGGTTATTCTTGTGGTTGGCGCCTGATTGAAAGGTAAATTTCATATATTATCTAAAGCTATTGGGCATTATTATTTAACTATTATATTTCTGTTTAGAATAACAAAAGAATTGCCGAGGTACAAAGAAGAGCTAGAAGTTTTAAAATTTATATGTACAGATTTTTGGTCTTGCGTTTATAAAAAGCAAGTGGATAATTTACGAACCAATCATCAAGGTGTCTATGTGTTGCATGATAACGAGTTTCGATTTTTCAGCAAATTGTCAAATAGTACACAGTACCTTAAATCTGCACCCAAAGTAAATAGTATAAAATATACGTACCTTTACTGCATTGCTAAAGATATTTATTCTAATTGCCTTTTAATCAATTATTTTGTAGTATGCTACTTTTACATGTGGTCTGATTCGAGGAGCTCTAGAAAATTTTGGAATTTCAAGCATTGTAACAGTTGAAATAATTAGAATGCCATCATGTAAATTCCACATACAAGTACTTCCATCTTCATCTTAATAATTATTATATTCTGTATAATATGCACACAGATAATTAATGATTAAATTGAATTATCAATTTTATAAAATATTTTTTTTTACTATTCTAGAAATCAATTGATTGGTTTTCCTAAATTTAAACTATTATACTATTCTATGTAAATTATTAATTAATATATTTAATCATTTAAAAGGTTTAATAGGTTTTTGTGTAATTTATTATCAACAGAAATAAAATATTTTAAAAGTAATCCATATTCAACTTATATTGTAATTTAATAAAATATGTGTAGCTATGTAATATTATGTTTACATTAGATATTTTAACAATATAGGCGAGAACCTTTGTACTGAATACATATCAAGCATTATTAAAGATACTAAAAATTTTATTTTTATTTTTCAATAATAATAATAAAAATATTTACATACAAATGTAATTGCAGTGTTGAATGAATATAGCCAATAGTAATTTATATATGCCACCATATTTTATTTGAAGTAATATTTAAAAATATTCAAATATATTACACACTAAAACAATGTTATTGATTTTCATTAAATGATAATAGAATAAACATAATATAATTAAAATACTTAGTGATCTTTTTGGCATAAAAATATATATTACAAACATTGGTGCAAAAAAATTAAATTTGTATATAAAGTGAAAATGAGTTATATTGGGCTCATCTTAATATGCTACTAAGTGAAAAAAAGTATAGATATAGCAAATGACAAATCAGAAATTATATGGTGATATAAATAAAAATTAAATTAAACATTAAAAATAAAAAATGTCTTATGTATACTTGCGGTGTCTATATAATTTTGGTGGAGCTGATGCAGTCAGATCCATAAAAGGTAAGGGTGGTGTATTTTCAACTCCGTTATTAACTCCTTTTTTAACTCTTTCATCCTCCATGTTCCGCCAAAGCTTACGACGCATATCCGTTTTAGGTGTTTCAATCAGACAATTTTTAATGCATCCTAATGCTTTCCTATTTTTCTTACTACTATCTTTCATTACTTTAGTATCCGTATTGCTTATTAAAGGTTCAAAATCATTTTCACCAACTGCTGAATGGAATGAATCATCTGTATCACAAGTGTTACTTGGTGTTGACATTAATAGACTACCAGATGAAGCATTATCAAATAATTCATTATTTATTCGTGTCTCTGTAGATATATTTTCTTCGTCAATTATCATTTTGACCACCTGTTATATGAATAAAAATATTAATTATAAAAGGTATGCATGAATAATCCGTCTGAATTGCTTTAGAGTATATAATACTAGATACATGGAATATATCTTGATTATTTTGCATATAATAGAGCAATATACATTTAAAAACAATTTATTTTATTTTATACATAGTTGTAAACTTTTTTTTATATATATAAATAATATTTTAAGAGTTTAAAACCCAAAACAAAAATGTCAAACAAAGTAATACATTTAAAAAAAAAATTAGAATTATATCAACAAATTTGCTATTTATTTAAGAAACAAAATATGTCCTCATATTATGGGTGTCAAACTTATTTTATTTTTTCTTGTGTATACTAGAAATAATTTTTTTATCATATTTTATTAACTATAATGAACTGATTAGAAGGCAAAGTTAAATATCTAAGTGTAAAACTGTGAAAATATAATATGTTAAAAAAAAAAACATTAATTATAAGTGCAGTTGTTCCAGCCATGGTGCAAAGTTAGGTTAGATAACTGATTAATTAATATTAAAAAACACTGTACAGAAAATAATATAGTCGACTTACTCTTAACGGAGTTCTGACAAAAGCTACAGTAGGCGATCGCGGATCTGGAATTTCCACTGTGTTCGACATGCTTAAATGAAAAGGGCAAACAAATCGAGATGATATGCGTCACTGAATATATGAAAAAGTTTACAAACTTTCAATAATATTTTTTAAACACTGAACAGTACAATCTTAGTATTGATTATTGAGTAATTAGTTATTAGTAATTTAGGTTCTAAACGTTCTCAAAATCTCAACCGTGGTCTGTGAATGAAGCGCAATCTCTTTCTACATCATTTAATTGATTAGTTCCAACGACAGACAAGCATCAACAGGCAAATATTCAAAATTTTAAAATTCAAATTATTCAAAAAAATATTCTACAATTACTAATAAATTTTTTTGAAAATGTACTATGTCTAATGACGGCAATGTCGGCAATGACACAATTAAAATTTAAGAGTTCAATACCGAATATCGACGTATTAGAATAAAATATAATTGCGTTTTACTATACTATCTCAGAATTTATAACGGACTGTTTGAATAACATAAATTAGCGCTACAGTGTAGCCACAGTGGAAAATAAACCTGTCATGTTTGTATGATGAAGTAATTACGAAAAAAGAAGGATTACACCATAGATTAAATACAATACACATTATACACAATCTATGATTTCACCCTCAGACAAAGCTTATATTATTATTTATTTTGTTTATTTGTTTTATTAATTTTGTGTTTTGAATATCTAACCGCTACTGATATATAATAATATGCTAATGATACTATAACACAGTAAACAGTTTATATTATTATATTATTATACATTTATATTTGTATACAAAATATATATCATATATATTATAGATATTAATTCCTACGTTGTCACTTTTGATCTTCCGAAAACTCAATTACTGTTGGATCTACAATAAACAATATTAAACGTTAAATATAAATATAATAAATATATTATATAATTTTTATGCATCTGTATTCTGTGGTCTGAATCTGAGTAGCGAGCAAGGTTTAAGAATATCTTGATCCGTGGTAGTGAGTACCAATGTATCTTAAATTCTTAAACCGTCGTGGCGCCTATCAACCTATCTCATATTATCTTAATGGTCAACAGTGATACATTGATACATCTAATACTATTACCATACTTAATATTGCAGCGAGTTGTACTCTCCGGTCACTTAACCCCTTCTTAATTCTCATTTGTTTTCCTCCTACTCCCACCGTCTTCGTAGAAGATCACGTCGATCACTATAAAGCTGAATAGCCTGAATATGATTTATCGTGTGTAGTGTGTACTATGTACATTGTACACGTATTACGCGGCAGTGAGCAAATCGTAAACAACGATGACAATAGATCGAATTCCAGATTAAGGCGACCGCGAAGAGGTCTTCGTGCACCCCTAGTCCCTACCAACCGTACTCCATCGATATTCGGTTCAAGGCCGTCTAGAAATTGTTAATCATCCCCAGAGTGTGCTTCAAGTAGTCCTGCGATTTCTCTTATAATAAAACTCCGATTCTGGCATTTCTGTGTTCCTCGGTCACCAGACAAGCGGACAAGTAAATCAAAATAAATCACTATTTTTCATCTTAAAAACGCTTTACACTGGTAAACAATCAACGTGTACACGATGGAATTGTTAGAAACAACTGTTATGAAGTTGTTGCACGGAGAAGCTTTGGACGAAAATTATGAGTTGTGTGATTTTACATTGGCTGATCAAAATGAAGCTTGTGGTAATAACATAGTTTTATAGAATCTTATAATTTAAAATTATTATTGTTGATGCAATATCATAATTGTACATAAAGCATCGAAGGGTTGAAGTTTTACAGTGATATAATTATGAACATAATTAACTAATGGAAAACTTAAACTGTACATTTTAATAAAATGTACTTTTCATTATAGTCTTCACTTTTAATGTTTTTAGTGGCTAAGGGTGTAACACCCATTGGGCCTTCTGACTATGTGCCTGTTACAAAAAGTACAGTTACATATATTGTACTAGTAGTTTTGGTGAACAGCGATGATGAAGTGCTCATGATGCAAGAAGCAAAAAGTACTTGTGCTGGTCAGTGGTACTTACCAGCTGGTCGCGTTGAACCTGGGGAAAATTTACACGTCTGTATACATAAAAGAATGTGATAAACAATTGAACATTAACTAAATTAAAAATGTTTTACTTAATAGGATGCTGTTAAAAGAGAATGCTTAGAAGAAACAGGATTAGAAATGGAACTTGTTACATTGTTGTCTGTGGAAGCTGCATCTAAAGCATGGTTTCGATTTATTTTCACTGGAAATGTTACTGGGGGTTGTTTGAAAACACCAGCTCAAGCTGATAGTGAATCTTTACAAGCTAAATGGATAAAAAATATTTCTGAAGTATGACTATTTAGAGTCAAATACAAAATATGTATAATAATTATTATTTTTGTTCAATTTTAGGTTACTCTTCGTTCCAATGATATTATACCATTAATTGAATGTGGTCGAGCTTTTCATAATGTAGCTAAAAAAAACAAGACTCAAAATGATTGGCACCATAACCTTTTGCCTGTCATTAAACCTCATAAGAAACTTTTATTACGTCTTCTTATCTGTGCTAGACAAAAAACTAGGTGGAAAAAAATTTAATAATTGTAATATCCATTTTTTTAATGGTTATTTATTTATTTCAGTGCTAAATTATATGTGCTTATGTCAGAAAAAACCCAAGCTCACTTTCCACTATGTGAAATAAACCATAATAGGAATTTACATTCGACATTACGCAAGTTTATGACTGTAATTGGACATATTTTGTTATTTAAACAGTTATTTATTATAATATTTTTAGGAAATATTTGGGGCTGATGTAGCTTTGCATAAACCACATGGAGTATTAAGCATCGAACATTGCGGCCAACCGGAAGGCTCTAATGACGGTTTATGTTTATCATTATTGGTTACTTTCCAAAAGACATTGGAAGACGTATTCCCTATCGGCAAGTATAGTTGGATGGCTGTATCCACAGAATGTGCAAAATTAATTGCATTGAGAACTATACGTAACATGACTGTTCCTCTCAAAGTTATATGTTAAACAGTTAATTTAGCCATATATATTATCTTTATGCTCATTAAACTACAAATGTGCTATATTAATATGCATAGAAATGTAGTTATATATTATATATTTTTTTTAAATTTTATTTTTTATTATATTTAAATCACAAAAAAATTGTTAAACTTGTCCACCTCTTAATTTCCTTCCTTTTTTACTAAATTTCTTCAATTTTTTACTTTGAGTTGCAACTTTAGGTTTTTTAACTGCTGGTCCATTTTTATCTTCATCACTCTTCCTTTTTATTTTTTTCTCTGCGTATGTTTTCTTCAAACCTTTCATCTTTCTTGTTTGCAGTGTGTTGATATCTTGTTTAGTCATATGTAAACGTCCCAATTTAGATCCGAAATTATCACGGCGTACACTCTTAATTTTTTTACCCTAAATAATAAATATAAATATATTATTGAATGTAAACTATACACTTGAATAACTTGTAAAAAAAAATGAATACCTTAAGGTTGGGTCTTTTGCATGCTGTTTTAAATAAGTCAGCACTAGCCATATGATCTCTTCTAACAACAAAATCAACAGATGGACCAACTTCGTGGAGTTCAACACGTGGAGTTTTTAAACTGGTTTTCGACAAAACTGTCCTATAGAAAGAAAAAAAAAACATTGAGTATTTAATTATATTAATAGAGTATTATATTAAAATTACCTATAAGAACGTAATAAAATTTTACTATCGACTGCTGTGAAAGACATGACATGTTCAATACCATTTGGTCTTATCTGTTTGAGTGGTTGCCTTTGAAACATATCAATGAATAAATTGCGTAAGCGTTTTAGTTGCTGATCACTGTCAAATTGTTCACCCAAGAAAACTAAAACTGGTTTTACACCAGCTGAGATTTCAGATAAACCTTTAAATTCACTACATCCTTTGTATGATTCGATACCCAATTCAAACATGTCCAATATATGTTGGTCATAAGTACGACCTGTAGAACAAATAATTATGTTATTATATTTAGTAAATGATATACATGTTAATTACTTCCAATATTATATTGTTACAAAAAAAAAAAAAAAAGTAAATATTAATACTGAACTAGAATATATAAATAATTTAAAATTAAATGTAATAGACTTGTTTTTTAATAAATAGAAATAATCTAAGATATTGAAATAACATTGTATCTAATTAAGATAATTTTAATTATTTGTTAACTACATTTTGATACTACTTGGTACTAAATATACACTCGGGTCTCTGAGTAAATTGTTTATTATTTTGTAAATATAGCTGAAAGTCATTTGATAGTAGGATAACATGTGTATAATTTATAGGATGTTCGCATAAATGATTATTTAAGAGTAGTTTATATAATAATAGATGTTATTTGTTATTATGTGTAAGCTCCAAAAAGTCGCAAAACAATGTACAGTCGACTCTCGATAATTCAAAGTTGACGGGACTGTTGAACAACTGAGTTTGAATTTTTGAGTAATTTGAAATAACAAGAAGGCAAAAAAAAAATTCGAATTACAGAAAGTTAAATAAAAATCTGTTTTTTATTATTGTACATATTAATTATTTCATTAAATTAGGTGATACATGTTAGAGTTATTTATTGTTTTTAAATTTTAAATTAAACTATATAATAATTATACTATGTAAATTAAATTATTATCATAAAAGATTATTATTTTTTGAAAAAATCTGTAAGAAATAAAACGATAAGGTTCTTATAATAATATTTTATAGTTATCAAAAATAATAAGCTAAATTTCTACACAATTATATATTAAATTATTAATAAAAAGATTATAAGAATACAGATAAAATGTGTTTGGTGAATATACTATGAATGATACAATTGTCAAGTGTTAGTGGCCAGTTTTTCCAAAATTTAATTTTGAATTACTGAATGTACTTAAATGCATTGTTTATGTTCGAATTATTGTATAATATTCAAGGAACCAAGTATTTATTTCAAATTACCAAAGGTTTCAAATTATTGAAGGTTTGAATTATTGAAAGTTGACTGTAAATCAACATGTTAAGCATAGAGTTGTTGATAATATTTTATAAAGATAAGGTTTGATATATTATTTTATATTTTTAAAAAACCATTTAATATGTCACTTATTAATTATTACTCACCAAGTACCAAATTGTTTGGTCTTTTCTTATTGTGTGACGAAAAAAAGAATAAAGATGAATCATGTTTCTGCAATAATTTTTCTATCTGTACTGTGTCTTCAAATGGTAAAATATCGTTTTTTTGAGTTAACATAACAGCATCTGGTTTTTTTAATTTCAGCTGTTGAAAATTATTAATAAATTAAACTGTAAATTATTTATTGATTTAAACTTACCAAATCTTTCATGCAGCTACTAGTTAGTAAAGATGATTTACGGCCAGG